AGCGGTACATTCCCAAACGTTTCGTCGGCATCGTCAGTGAGTCTCACCATTCATAGCACCATATTACAACTCGTCAAATGGACAAGTGAAGCCGATCCTTTGACCAAACCTGTGCTAAACAGTTGTGGTATTTCACCTTCTGCCCTGGCCTATTCACATCTCCTATATCCTTCTATCATGCCTTCCCTGTCACTTGGCCTCACTTGTCCATTTGACGAGTTGTAATATGGTGCTACGAATGGCGAGACTCACCGACGATGCCGGCGAAACGTTTGGGAATGTACCGCGTCCATTGTCCGACTGGAAATAATTATGCATAAAATGGACTCAGGACAAGGTGCGTTCCTCTAATTCTTCCTACCAATATGACCAAGTTGCGAAAACAAGGTCAAACAACTTCTATACAATGAAAGGAGACTGCGACCACAAAAAAAGACCACACCATTTTGGTCTTCATACTTTCTATAAAATATATAATATAATATAATATATTGTTTGCCTCCTTTAAACATATATTTAATTTTCAAATGTTGTTGCAGTCGATGGCAGCAACAATCCCACCACAGAATGCGATGTGGCCCAGTCTTCTTGCAATCCACACGGTCCAGTGACCCAAGTGTGGTTGTGATAATGTCGGGTAGTGGTTGGCGTGTCGAGAGTCATGCTTCGAGTCCCGTTGCGGGCGGTGAAGAGTCGAGTTGAGACGAGTTCGAAACTGCACTCCAATCCAGTCTGGCCGGCAAAACCGGTTTGGAAGCAAAGCTATCCGAAATGGAATGTAAGTGTGCGGCCTGTTGATGTGATTGCGTGAAGATGCAAGCGCCAGTTTCGCCTAAAATCGCCTAAAATCGTCTAAAGTGAAAGAGAGTGAAGACATCTCTTTTTCAGCCGCCGAAGAAGCTACTCTTCGGTCGTGCTGCTGAGCAGAGTCCTGTTGAACGGAGCCTTTCTGGTCGGCGCACCGAAGCACAAACGATTGGCCCGATTCAAGTGTCTTTCCGAAAAGGAAGAGGGCTCGGATCAATGCAAGTGAATGATGAGATGTCGCCTCGAGCAAGCAAAAGCAATGTGGAATGTCTCGGCTCCTGCGCTTAGTTCGCCCTTGGCGGTGGGTTGCCAGAGGAGACAAGCAGCAGACTGTGTCGAGGGTGAGCAGACGAGGTATTGTTGACCTGCAAAAAAGGAGTTAATTGATCGGAATGCAAAACACTCCAACAGGCCGACACGCTAGACTAGGCAGCAAAAGAGTATTTGTTGAATCGAAAGCAGCCAGATTACAAGCCCCGTCTGTCTGGTGGCATGTGAAGCAACCGGAGAGGGGGCTCAAGGAGGGCAGGTGTTGAAGCCGGCAAGGCTCAGACCAGCGTCATGTGAACCAAGAGGAGGCGAGACATCAGGTGATTGGCTGGCGGGCTGGCGGGCTGGCAACTGCGCTGGTATGAATAGTCGGCAAGCGGCAAACGGATCATCAAAGCAAGCGATGAGCTCAGGTTGAGTGTCAAGCCGACTCTTGCCAGCTCCTCTTTTGGCCCTTGAACCGGCAGTCATGACAACTTGCACATGCTCAGCTCGCATGTTTTCGCTTTGTCTGTCTGGCCGGCTTGGTTATATTTGAAGTTTTGATGTGAAAAATGTTTTTGTTGTCTTTGTACATTACGAGGTTTAGATTTTGTGAAAGAATTTTTGAGTTATGTGCCATGTGAAGATCATTTGTATGAAAGGTATTCACCCCATTTCGTTGAAGGTGATGAAGGGCTGGTGGCTGGATTTTTTCACAACGCCACGAGTAGAACTGACGTTTCCTATCCATTTCACACAGCCTTGCTTTCGCAAAAGATCTGCTCTTCTTGGCTGGAGTGGACTGCAGCTTAGATCTGGCGGGAGTCGAACCAGGACGCATTGGCACGAGTGCCCTCAAGTCACAGGAAAGATGGGCATTTCAACGAAAGTCATATCGCAACATCCTTTGGCGGGATTATCGATGAAGCAAACTTATATTCGTCATGACAATCGACTAGCCCTACTTATAAACGCAAAATATGAATATTATGTTTTGTATGTGTGCGTAAACATACTATTAAAAGGCTGGTCTTTTGTAGTCATTATTATTGGTTTTATGATATCTTATGGGTATAAACTATTCCACATTTGAAGAGTTTTAAGTTTAATGGGCATGGATTTCTTGGTTTATTTTGTATCAACGATTTTATAATTATTTATATTATGTTGACATCTTGTGTCATTTTCGTTTAGATCACGTTGCAGTATAGCATATTTTTGTGTTTTTTCGTGTCGTATAAATGCTATTTTTTTATTATATCCGGCTCCTTGTTTTCTCTTTCCTGGTCTGCCAAGCAGGCAGGAGCCTCACAAAAGAGGCCCTAGCAATAAATGTGAAATTTAGTCGGACAATAACCGTTTTCCCGATCGTATCAAAAGTTTCAGGGGGACAACCAGAGCGTCACGAATGATGCCAAGCCCACAATTTATCAGTCATCCGACCCAGAAAACGACGGCCGATTCCTGCTGTTCTGTAGCCAAACTTGCCTTTAAGACGAGCTTCATGTTGACGCCGAACACGAGACACATGTTGCCTCGTTTCGGGTGAAGCTGGACTGTTCTCTCGTGCGTCATGCCACTTGGCGGAGAAATCGTCAGCGCTGGAAGTCATTCTACTCAAAGTTAACTCAAAGTCAAGACGCCTCTCCGGCTCGCTGCTACACACCGTATCTACTCAGGACTAAAGCAAACAGGAAAGTATGCACAGACAGACAGTCGGATACATAATTATTTGGTTACTTCTCTTTGTCTCAGCTACAAATGCCCTGATTACTGTAAAATAAAACTAAAAACTGTATTCGCTATACCCGGACGACGATATACTATACAATACTATATTATACAATACAATACAATACAATACAATACAATACAATACTATACTATACTATACTATACTATACTATACT